GACTCAAAATGGATGAAAGACCTCAATGTGAGACAGGAATCCATCAAAATCCTTGAGGAGAACACAGGCAGCAAACTCTTTGACCTCAGCCACAGCAACTTCTTCCTAGAAATATTGCCAAAGGCAAGGGAAGCAAGGGTAAAAATGAACTAACTGGGACTTCAACAAGATCAACTTTTGCACAGCAAAGGAAACAGTCAACAGAACCAAAAGACAACTGACAGAATGGGAGAAGATATTTGCAAACGACATATCAGATAAAGGGCTAGTGTCCAAAATCTATAAAGAACTTATCAAATTCAACACCCAAAGAACAAATAATCCAATGAAGAAATGGGCAGAAGACATGAACAGACATTTCTGCAAAGAAGACATCCAGATGGCAAACAGACACATGAAAAAGTGCTCCACGTCACTCGGCATCAGGGAAATACAAATCAAAACCACAATGAGATACCACCTCACACAAGTCAGAATGGCTAAAATTAACAAGTCAGGAAGCAACAGATGTTGGAGAAGATGTAGAGAAAGGGGAGCCCTCCTACACTGTTGGTGGGAATGCAAGCTGGTGCAACCACTCTGGAAAACAGTATGGAAATTCCTCAAAGAGTTGAAAATAGAGCTACCCTACGACCTAGCAATGGCACTACTGGGTATTTACCCTAAAGGCACAAGTGTAGAGATCTAAAGGGGAATGTGCACCCGAATGTTTATAGCCCCAATGTCCACAATAGCCAAACTGTGGAAAGAACCTAGATGTCCATCAATAGACGAATGGATAAAGAAGATGTGGTATATATACACAATGAAATACTATGCAGCCATCAAAAGAAATAAAATCTTGCCATTTGCGACAACGTGGATGGAACTAGAGAGTATTATGCTGAGTGAAATTAGTCAATCAGAGAAAAACAATTATATGATCTCTCGGATATGAGGAATCTGAGAAAAAAGAGGATCACAGGGGAAGAGAGGAGAAAATGAAACAAGATGAAAGCAGAGAGGGAGACAAACCATGAGAGACTCTTAATCTCAGGAAACAAACTGGGGTTTGCTGGAGTGAGTGGGGTAGGAAGATGGGGTGATTGGGTTGATGGGCATTGGGGAGGATACGTGCTATGGTGACAGGTCCCAGACCTGTATCCTGGAAGCAAATAATACATTACATGTTAATAAAAAATTTTAAGAGGAACACTCAATATAATAAGATAAATATATGGGCCAAAAAAACCATCAAATTCTGTGTTCCTTCCGTTACGTGAGGTCATGTGTAGAAGATACTAGTGAGTTTCTGGAATGCTGGAAGCTCACAGAAGACCACAGTTCCCAGCTTCGTGCCCGTCAGCACTGTGAAGCAGAGAGAATTACTTGACCAGCTGAGGATATTGGGCACCCATTTTGTTCTCAGCACCACGTGAGGAGCGGACGTATAGGGGGGTGGGAGGGTATTTGAGAAGCTCCAGGCAAGGAGTGACAAGTACAGAATGTTACTTTACTCTGCAGCCATGGTGAAGGATCTGGGAGCTCGGCGGGCACACACACCTGCCTTTGGGACTCCCAGGCATTTGAGGACAGGGTCCGAGACAGGAAACATGGCCCACCTCACTGGAAAACATGATTTCCAAGTCTAGAAGACTGGCCATCCTCAGGGCAGCCGGCCAAGGAGCTCACTCCCTCGGAGGCCATTCCTTCAGTTTCCAAATAGTTTTGGTTCTAGAAAGTTCTATGTGGGGGGCACCTGGGTGGCTCAGTGGGTTAAGCATCTGCCTTCAGCTCAGGTCATGATCCCAGGGTCCTGGGATCGAGCCCCGCATCGGGCTCTCTGCTCAGCAGGAAGCCTCCTTCTCCCTCTTTCTCTCCCTCTCCCCTTGCTTGTGTTTCCTCTCTTGCTGTCTCTTTTCATCAAATGAATAAATAAAATCTTAGAAAGAAAGAAAGAAGAAGAAAGAAGGGAAAAAAGAAAGAGAAAGAAAGAAAAGGGGTAAGTTCTGTGTGGTACCCCAGAGCACACTCTCATTTAAAATTAATTTGCCAGAATCAAGCCGCCCTAAATTGAGCCTTCAGACCAGGATGGCAGACTTGACCTTTAATAAGTAAGAAGAGTTTCTCCGCCAGTGAATTTTCAGGGGCTGTATCAGCAAATCAGGGAAATTTGGGCTAAAGCAGCTTCTTCCGAAGGAGGACTCAAGACACAGAAGGGTTTTCAATCATGTCTTTCTGGATACAGAAATGAACTCTTGTGTGTGACGTTGTCTTTTTGTGACCCCGGAATGTGTGAAGTGTGCTACTTGTGAAGTTTAATAGCACCACTAAATTTTACAAAAATCATAAATGAGTGACTAAAGGACCCAAGGTCAGCTTGCTCGAGCACGTGGCCTGAAACTCCACACGGAGGATGACCGCCTGCTTGCTCTGGGTTCCTGACCTTCCATCTCCCACCATCCTAGACCCCCTTCCCCGCTGTGCTCTCCCAGAAATAACATGAATGCTGTTTAAAATATTCTGAGATTCAGCCTTTTGATTTAGGAAGTCTGGCCCCCTTCCTGGATTTGCAGGGGGTCACAGATGAACTTACAATGAAGATTTTGAAAGCACAGGAATGTGCACTGAGCAAACTGAAAGGAAGCCGGCTGTCTGAGCACACGCCCCAGCCCCTCTCACATGAATGAGAGGATCTGTGTTATTTGTTGAAGTGTTCTTATTTGGCTTTCCACGTTTTGTTTGTAGCGTCCTTGAAAGGGCTGGGTTTGGATCCTGGCTTTGTCTTGTAACCTCTGCTTTATGATGTTGGACTTTTATCAGTGTTTGTGCTTGGACTGTGTTTATTTCGACAGTCCCCCATGGGACCGGGAGGACAGAGAGCCGTACCCACCACCACATGGGCTATGCACTGCTATTTCTTAAGACTTTCCAGCCTGAAGGCCGAGCTTGTGACCTGGTTTGAAAAGGTGTGTGTAAAAACACATTTTTAACATTCTTACAAATCCCAGGATGAAGGAGTTCTTAACTTTAATTCCCACCGGTGATTCTTTAGTAAGTGTTCTATGGTTTCACGTGATTCTATAATGTTTGTGCTTGGTGAGTCCGGAGGTGTTTGGGAGGGGGTGGGTAGGTATGTGTGTGACTGTGTATCTGCTGATCCTTGGGATCTACTGAGAACGTGAGGTGAGGATTTGTGGGTTTGTGGCCACATGGTCTTGCTTCCCAGGTAGCTGGCTGCTGTTTCACATCTGGCTTTCTCCTGTTCCGCCGCTCGGCCCCTCCCAGACCTTCACCACTAACCCTGTAAGGGCCTGTAGGCTGTCTCCAGTGGGTCTGTCATTAGCACTCCTGCAGACCCTTCCTCAAGACAGAATCAGACCCGCTTTTCACTGTAAATGCTGTGCGGCTAATCACTTCTGGGAAAACCCCACAGGTACCCTTGGTGATGATTCTTATTTTTAGTGTAGTAAAGTTATAAAGCTTAAGAAAGTGCTTACAGAAGCCAACAACTCTGGATTTCTTTTACAAAATATATTTTTAAATTACTCAAGTAATACATGAATGTGTATTTGGTGCAAAAATGTAGGCAATATTGAAATGTAGAGAGTAAAAAGTTTATGCAAATTTATTTGCTGGTAGGAGGGTATGCATGCTAGAATTTGACAGCTGTTAATAAATAGATCAAATTTGCCTTCTAAAAGTTTGTACCATTTACACCACTGCCAGGAGCCTATGAGGGCGTCCCGACCCTGTTCCCAGCGCTAGATTTGTGTTTATAGATGTTTGCTAGGCACACTTTGATAGGTGGGTGTCTTTTTCTACTAAGTTTTTGATTTTAGTTCCAGTATAGTTAGCACAGTGCAGTATAGTGACTCAGCGGTTCTGCACACTACTCCGTGCTCACCAGGACAAGTGTCCCTTCATCCCGGTCACCTTCACCCATCCCCCCACCTCCCCTCTGGAGACCATGGGTTTGTTCTGGAGAGTTAAGTTTTCTGGGTTGTCTTTTTTCCTTTGTTTTCCCTTGAACTCCGCACGTGAGTGAGATCCTCCGGTGTTTGTCCGATTTCACTGAGCACCCACTGCTAGGTGTGCGCGCTTCCCTGACACCCCAGCGCAGGGTCTTCCGTATCTTACTGTTCGTCTCCTTTCAGACAGGAAACGCGCGGCATGTTGTACTCTGGAATGTGCAAAGGCAAGACGGGCGAGAGATCCTGTGCTTCGGGGTGGGTCCTCTGACTGTCCAGCTTGGAGTCCAGTAGGGCCCTGCCCCACGCCCGCCGACAGCGATGGCGCCAGATCCTCGCCCGTAAAAGTCCCTTCTTGGGAGAGCCTGTGATCTACACCACAAGTCCTGTCTGCCAGGGGTCGGGAAAGGCTGAGGATCCCGGCCCCACTGTGGCCCTGAACTGCGGCACTGCCCAGTGGGGCTTCTGGAGTGTGCGGGGCGGCCGCGGACGCGAGTGGGCGGCGGCCCGAGCCGGGCTGCGGGACCCGTGCGGGGTCCGTGGGGCCCTGTGACTCTGCTGGCCCAGGTCTGGCCACCCAGCGGCCTTCTCCTGGGCCCGGTACTCCATGGTCCTAAAGCCGCCCCCGCCCTGCCCCGGCCTGCGTCTGGACACAGCCGTCCACCCCTGTGGGCCGAGGCCACAGCCCCAGCGCCGCCGCCGCGCAAGCCCACGGTCCCGCACGCCCGCGGCCCCGCACACTGCGGCCGCGCACACCTGCTGCAGCCGGAGTGCGGGGAGGAGAGGGGCAGGGCAGGCCGGTCCCCGAGCCCCGGGTTCGTCTGCGGGAAAGCCGAAGCCTGGGCGCCACCGCGCCCCGAGACACCTACGACCCAGGCCCCTACCGGACGGCCGCCGCCGGAGGCCGAGTCCTCCCCCGGGGTCACAGCCCAGCGCGCGCCGCCTTTCCTTTTGGGGGCGGAAGCCCGGCCGGCGGAGGGCAGTGGGCATGCGCACTGAGCCTGCCCCGCGTCCGGCGGCCGTCGCCATGGTGACCGCAGCGGGGCCGCCCGGGCCCCGCCCCCGCGCCACCGCCCGGCGGACCTGGCCGCGCCCCAAGGCCGGGGGGTGAGGGGTCGGCGGGGATTGGAAGGGTGGTGGTCTCGGGGTGAGGCGGGGCCCAGGAGGAGGGGGCGGGATCGGGCTGAAGGGGCGGCCCGGAATGGGGGTCCCGGGGTAAGGGGGTCACCTCGGGGTGACAGGGTCAGACCGGGCTGGGGGAGGGGTCCTGGGTGAGGGCTGCCGGCTAGGGGGGGCGAGATGAGGGGGCGGTGAGGGGTGGGGAGTCTCGGGGTGAGGGGGTCCGCTTGACTTAGGGGACGGTCAGCTCGGGAGCGGGGAGGCCGAGGGTGACGAGTGGTCTGGGGTGAAGGGGTCCCGGCGTGGGGGAGGGCGGGGGGGTGCCGGGATGAAAGAAGGTGGTGAGCGGTGCGGGGCCCCGAGGTGAAGGTGTCAGCTCCGGGTAGGGGAGTCGGCCCCGGGTTGGGGGGGTGAGCCATAGCCACCAGAAGGGGAGCCCCGGGTGAGGGCGGTGGGACTGGGCCCCCCACAAGGCCGTGAGGGGCGGGGTCTCGTGGAGGGGGCGGTGAGGGGGGCGGGACCATTGCTGGGAGGAGAGGCAGCGTGGTCCTGGGGGCCTGGGCCAGGCCGGGCGGGGTGGGGGGAGCGACCTTGGGTTGGGGGGCCACAAGGAGGAGCCGAGGCGGGGGTGCGGTGGGAGGGCGGCCTGGTGTGCGGGTGGGCCTGCTTGGTCTTGGGGTCTGCTTGGGGAGGGGGCCTGTGCCGGGCGCGGGGAGCGGGTATGGTGGGCAGGCCCGGCGCGGGCGGGGGCGGGGGCGGGGGCTCTGGCCGCCCGGGGTGGGTCCGGTCCGGGCGGTGTGGGCTGGGCCCCGCCGCCGCCGCCCCGCCCCGCCCTGCTCCACTCGCCGCGTCCCGGTCCCGCAGGAGCCGCAGCCCGAGCGTCGGCGCGCTGCGGGCCGGCCGAGCAGGGGCGCGGAGACGCACGGACCGCGGAGCCTCCCCGGAGCATGTGGAAGCTGAACCGGAGCCGGGTGCTCCTGGACGAGCCCCCCGAGGAGGAGGACGGCCTGCCAGGGGGCCCGCCGCCGGCCGCCGCCGCCGCCGCGCAGGTAGGGGAGGTGCGGCCGGGGGGGCGTGGAGGGGTGCGCGCGCCGGGCCCGGGGCAGTGCGGAGTCGGGGCGCGCGGCTGGGGGCGCGCAGGTGGGGCTGCGCAGGTGAGGCCCGGCCGCGGGGCCGCGCCGCTGTGGTCCGCGTGGGCCCCCCAGGTTCGCGGGCGTTGAACCCCACGTCCTCGCCGGGCACCCCGCCGGCGGCCGGGGGGCGGCTCCCTGGGACCTTGGCGAGTCCGCGCCGCGCGGGTCCTGGGCGGCTGCGGGCAGGGGGTGCTGCGCGCGGACGCGAGGACGCGCTCGGACACTGCTGCGGGTTAGGGTTTCCTTGAACCTTTGTGTGGGGGAAGGAGGCAGGTGTCCTTCGTGCGGAAAACGGACGGACGCGGGCCTTGCCGGCTGGGAGATATGCTTGGAATGCTCAGAATTTTTTAATTAAAAAGGATCCCAGGTGGGGCCTGGATGCGTTACATGTGTGCCCCTCCCCCCTTTCCAACGCAGCGGTCTTTTTCTCCCTCGAAGAAATTGAGGTCAGAAATTCAGCTTTTCTTTTTATTTAAAAGGACGTGGTCATAAAATTTCTTTTTCTCTTTTCTTTTGTTTTTGTTTTTGCTTTTGTTAAATGTTTGGAAACTCCTGCTGCTGTTGAGGCTCTTACCGAAGTTAATGATGTGTTTCCTTCTGAGAAGGAGCTGTGGGTAGTTGAGGAGATCGTCTCCTCCCCGGTGGGAGGAACGTAACTTAGTTTCCAGGCTGAAGCGGTTCATCCCCACAGCTATTTCTTGTAGGACTTAAGTGCATCTGATGAACCGTTTAAATACAGTTCCTATCTGAGCTGGCCTTCCAGTGCGCTGTTCCGTAGTGTTCGTGCCCATCCAGCTTCCAGCTTCTTTAGTCCGAAAATTTTGATTGCTCTGAACAGCAACTCTCTTAAACATAATGTGGAGCATTTATATGTTGTTTGTATGTGGCAACGGAATTATTTAGTATTGCAAATAATTCTTACTGGCTAAAGATTAGAAATGCTGTTTCTGGATGAGCTCTTAAAAATTTGAATCTGTCCTGTCTGTGCACTGTTAACACTTCTAATGGATCCTCTTTCTTACAGGATTGTCATTTTAGCTCACAGCATATTTTTTTCATATTTTAATAGACTTTCTTCTTTCGGTACCCAGCAAAATTGAGTGGAAAAGACAAAGTGTTCCCCCATACTCCCCATACTCCCTGTCCCCACATCTGCCTGGCCCTCGCCCAGTCAGCCTCCCATTTGTTGTCATTGGTGAACCTCTGTTATCTGGGGGTCCACGTGGTACACGCAGGCGCTTACCCTGGGGGTGGGGGTGTGTGTCTGATACATTTTGAAGAATGTAACGTGAAATGTCTGCACTGTTAGAGAACCAGAACAGTTTCCCTAACCCTGAGACCCTACAAACCTCCTGTTCTACTTCCTCATCCCTCCCTTGTGCCCCGGGTTCTGTCTGTCTTTTTCAGGAGGTCCTAGAGTTAGATACGGGACGGAGCCTTCTCAGACTGGCCTGTCTTGTGTAGCAGTCTGTGTTTGTGGTTCCTCTGTCCCTTCCAGGCTCGAGAGCTCTTTTCTCTTTAGATCTAAGTAGCATTTCATGGTGCGGTTGCACCATGTGTCCATCAACCTGCGGAAGGCGTCCTGGTGGCTTCCAGGTTTTGGCAGTTAGGAACGAAGCTGCTTGCTCTGTGCAGGTGTTTGCGTGGACTTCAAGTTTTAACTCAGCGAAACGCTTAAGAGTGGACTGCGTCGGGGAGGGTGGGAGGCGGTTCAGTTCTGGGAGAACCCGCAGCTCTGCACCGTGGCTACACGTGCATCCTGCCGTCAGGGAGTGGGAGTCGCCTGGGCGCCACTGCCTCGCCAGCACGCGGTGCGGCCCGTGCTCTGGGGGTGGCCTTTCCTGGGCGCCAGGTGGTGACTGGTGGTTGCTGCTTGCCTTGCCGGCAACCTGGACCACCTTCTCCTTCCCCCGCTCTTCGCTGAGGTGCCCAGAGCTTCGGGCCCTCGGACAGCGGGGTTGCTTGTTCTCTTCTTACTGATTTTGAAGAGTTCGTGTGTGTTTTGGTTAACAATCCTTTATCACAGATGTCTTTCTCAACCATTTTCTCCTAGTCCGTGGGCTGCCTTCTTGCCAGTGGCTTTCACAGAACAGAAGTTTTAATTTTGTAATTCTGTTGCGTTTGTAGAAGTTTTGATTTTAATGCAGCCCAGGTTATCAGTTGTTTTTTCATGGAATGTGTGTTTTGTGTTGGGTCTCATAAGTCACAGCCACACTCACCGCCGTTTGGGTTTTGTTCTGTGTGTCCTGCGAGTGAGGTGTGGCTGTGTTTTTTGTGTTACTGTGTTCAGGGTATGTGTGGTTTACTGTGTGGAAGCCCTTGGCTGTGGAAATCCAAGGCGTGTGGACTCGGGGTGGGCTAGTCATACCCACAAGCAGTTAGTCCCTTCAGGAGGACCCTTCTCTATCCCAAAGCCAGTTTTCCGTAGAATTACATTTTCAAATTCACGACACGTCTACTGTAAAACTTCTGCCTACAAGATTTTATTTTAACATTTAAAGAAGTAGGGATTCACGGCGGGAGGGACTAGTGGGTCTGTCCAGGCCTTGGTTCAGTAGGAGGAGGCTGTGTGTTGTGCTTTGTCTCCAGTCTTGGACGCGCCACGGTCAGCCTCTGCGGGGTCGCTCGTGCTGTGGGGTCGCTCGGGAGGGCAGAGAGCCCGCTGTCCTGCTCCAGGACCGTGTTTCGTCAGTGTTCCTGTCTGGTGTTCTGTGTCCTTGGAAATCAGCTCACACAGCTGTAATCCATATCTTGTTTAAAAAGAAAAAAATAGCTTAGTGTCCAGTTGTAGTAAGTTTGAGACGTGAGGCGTTCAGAATTGGAACGTGGATGTGGGTAACCCGAACCGGCAGTAACCCCGAACCGTTACTACCACAGCATAACAGTAGAAAACTCTTTGTGAGCTGTCTTCAGGCTGCTGGCCTTTGTTGTCACGAACATGCACTATTTTACATGAAAATTTCATAGTAAGGTTTATAAAGCGAATCAATGGTTGCAGTCATTTAACAAGGAGAGATAAGTTTTGGTAAGTCTCATGTTTATTGATTTTAGAGATTTTAGAGATTTTGTTTATTATTTATTTGAGAGTGAGAGTGAGCATGAGTGGGAAGGAGAGGGAGAAACAGACTCCCCAGGGAGCCCCACGCAGGACTGGATCCCAGGACTGGGGACTGTGACCTGAGCTGAAGGCAGATGCTTCACTGACAACAGCCCTCCAGGCGGCCCTGACTATCTGCTTGCAAACTGACGTATCATTAGAAATGCAGTTCCTCACCGTGCCGGCCCCCGCGCGGCTGGGATGACGAATGGACAGCACAGCTCTAGAACTCCCCCAGATCCAGACGAGCTTGTCCGCAGGATTGCGGGTTCTTGTGCTTGCTTGGCCCGTGGGGCGTTCCAGTCCTTTGCCAGGCCCGTGTAGAGTGGCACGGCCGCATCCCTGGGCACAGCGAGTGACATGCGGACGGAAACGATCCAGGCTTGGCGTCTGTCTCTCCCAGGCCCTGGTGTACTGCTGTGTGAAGTGTTCCCCCGTAAGTGCTAGGGTACAGTCATCACTCCTAGGACTTTAAAGTCCTAGTTTTGGGTTTACTTTCACGGCTTTTTACTTAAGGTGGCATGACTTAGAACATTCTCGAAAACTCAGCCGTCCACATCACGTGTGCATTGGGCAGTGTGGGTTCAGTGAGAGTCAGACTGGGAGTGACTCTTCTGCCTGAGGTCACACGTCCTCTCACCCGGGACCCCTCCAGGGAATGAGACGGGTAAACACCTGGGGGAAACATAGCCTCTTTGCCTTGTGTCACGGATGGGGGTTAAGGTGTAAGACAGGCTAACCAACCCCAGCTTTAGCGTTAGAAGCCAAAGACGGACGCTCAGGCGCACTTTTGCCAGTTGTTTAAGAATGAGCCAAGAGCCGCACCAGGGACAGCCTTGAGAACTGGATGGATTTTGTTGTTTCCTTTTATTTATTTATTTTTTAAAAGATTTTATTTATTTGACAGAGATCACAAGTAGGCAGAGAGGCAGGCAGAGAGAGAGGGGGAAGCAGGCTCCCTGCTGAGCAGAGAGCCCAATGCGGGGCTCGATCCCAGGACCCTGGGATCATGACCTGAGTGGGAGGCAGAGACTTAACCCACAGAGCCACCCAGGCGCCCCAGGATTTTGTTGTTTTCCTGTCTGTTCACGGCAGCCGTCTGCGAATTCAGCACACGCTGAGCGAGGTCTTCTTGGGGAGACGTGGGGGTCAGATAAACCAGAGCTTCTGCCCTGAAAGTCTAGTGGGAGCTGCTCTGAGGGAAGACGGACTCTGGTCGCTTCTGCTCATCACAGAGCCTGAGGAGAGGAGGGACCCAGCTCCCGGGTGGACGCGGGGCTGGCACACAGGGAGCATGTCCGCGGCCACCAGGTGCGCTTTCCACCTCCCAGGACAGCGGCAGGTGCTCCTGGCCGAGGCCGCGGAGGCCGAGCTTCCGAGCCTGGCAGACGGCGCGGCGCCTGTGGAGCTCGCCCTGCGGAAGCACGGAGGCTGGTGCCCACCGCGCTCCTGTGTGAGGGACCGCCCAACGCCTCTCGGGAGCGCCCGCCGCGGCGCCCGGTGAGTGGAGCGCTTCAGTCGACGGAGATTTCTTGTTTTTAGGATTTTATTTATTGATTTGTCAGAGGGAGAGCACAAGCAGGGGAGCGGCAGGGGCAGAGGGAGAGGGAGAAGCAGACACCCGCGGAGCAGGGAGCCCGATGCGGGACTCGGTCCCAGGACCCCGGGATCACGGCCGGAGCCCGAGGCTGGCGCGAGCCCCCGACCCCCGGGAGCCCGGTAGACATGGGTTTCACAGTAAGTGGCCGTCTCAGTTCCGGGGGTTAAATGCCAGCTCGTGCCGCGGGCCGGACCCTGCGGGGAGCGCCGCCGGCGTGTC